AACAAACAATCTTCTTGAGCCACCACCATGAGCAGTGCTCTTTTGATTCACTTTTCTCTCTAGCACTACCTAGCTCTAGTCCAGAAATCCTCTAGGGTCAAATGCACCTCCTTGCAGGTATAGCAGCAGGCAGCAAGACCCGACACTTCTGCACCCAGCAGAATTGTTGTACCCACATCGAGTCATGGAACATCAAGCACCAATGATGTAAATCTCACCACACTGTTTATACTTTTACACATTAATGTCTCATTTTCTAGCTGTTGTCAGCAGTAGAGCATTTACAACATCAAAAGTGCTAAAGCTCACCTCATTCTCTTTGAACAAATTTTTGAAATCACATCCACTGACACTGGCTTGCCTGTGTTGTTCAACCATATCCATGGCTGCAGGTTTGAGACAGTGATTGCTGATAGCCACAAAGGTCAAGGGTTAGGTGCATGTAGCAGCTGTGCAGATAGTTCTCTTAAATAACCAATAATGTTGTAGGTTTGGGAATGTACTGCATGCAACTGTCTTGTTCCATGACAATGCCATGCCCATATGAGTCACAATGTCGTCTCTGCGATCTAGGGCTGTATGATTATCTCCATCGATTCTATCGGCTTTGCATAGCACATTATAAAGAAATGTCCATGGCCTTCGCACCCATGTTCAGACAAAGTATATGCAGCAATGCTGAGCTTGGCAACATCTGAGCCCCATCCAGACATTCAGAAGACATTGAATATCATTTGTGATGGTGGTCCAAAAGCTGCAGGTGAATTATCAACAATAAAACACTTTATAAAAATTGACACATCACCAGCATGGTTGAAAGATAAGCTTGAAGGCATGAAATTCGCGTTTCCAGCAATATATCAGCCAGCAAGCCTGATACCTCTCGCTTTTTGGAAAGCATCTCCCTGTCATGAATGTTACCAACTGCATCTAAATTTCGATTATCGAACCCTAAGTCACCTTATCCGATAAGATTAGATTAGATAGATCCCTGATAAGATAAGATGGATAACCGATTAACGATCACTATCTTCACTTCACATCTATACTACATCGACGTCATCCATCTATATCCGTAACCCTAGACATACGAAGTCATCACATCCTTAGAAGTCCTACGATTAGGCAACCGGCTACATCATAAGCATCTACACGCCTCTATGATCGAACCATAACCGAGAGTCCTTTACGAGCCATCTCTCGAAGAGTCATCATCCCTTCACATTGCAGACCTTCACTTCCCACACATGACATGTTAAGAGTTACCTCTGTCATTCACCGAACCCCTTACATCAGAACCTGTTGTACAGTCACAGCTAAAACCCTGAACCCCTATCATAGAAGTGCCACTCATAGAGAAGCATGCTCATTACCAAAGACCCTGGAGAAACCCCTAGATACGATCGAACCCGATACATCTCCAGATCCTATCTCTTATCGAGATCCTTAATCACCGCTCGAGACTTCTTGTCACAGAACTCTCTCACACCCTTCTTAATCTCTGTCTACCCTGAATAGAAGCAGTCCCTGAGAACCCTGCTTAATCACCGATACCCTTGACCCCTATGAACCCTCTACCCTTTCCTTCTTGTAGTTGATTGGTTGATAAGACGCCCTATACCCTAGGTGCAATGTTATGACCGTATATAGATATATCACAAACCTTTCATACTCAGCTATCTCCGCCTAGAGAGTAGTATATAGTTTAGGTCGTAGTCAGTAGTACTCCTTAGACTTAACCTCTTCGTTCTTACGTTATTGTAGGCCTAGACGTTCCCTCTCAAATCTATCCTTGCTTTATCCTCTTCAGATGAGTCCTGTGGTGTGATCCAAACTCCAGACACCTACTAGTTAGGTTAAGGGACATTGGTCATAACACTCCCACTACAACTAATGGCAATGAGCAATCTCATTGTAATGCATATTGTGAAGGCATTCACTTGACTCTATTAGCTGGCCTCATGAAAGGCATGAAATACGACCAGGGAGCAACAAACAGTATGGATATTCACACCACATTTGGGGGTATCAACTTGAGACCAAGGCACAACTTATATTCACCGCACGAAACAGTGCATTATGCAGCAAGGTATGACTTTATATTATGAATCTAAACACTAGCTAATTTTCGTCAGCTCGAGTACAACAGAAACACCACTCCTCACATATAGTGAATGCAATGCATGGCACACTTCCACAACCTGCTATGGTGTGTGCCGTCACGATGCCAACAGCACAACATGCAGCACCTCCACAGCCTGATATGGCAATGCCAACAGTACAACATGGGCATGTCAAAGAGGCAGTAGTTGAACTGCCGTCGTTCTTGCTCCACAAACCACCATCTCCAGCACAAATCAGCACATTTAGTGTCCTGTCATTTGCATTAGTATCAGGTGCTCGCATCATAGACTACTGACCCACGACAATTCAGTCCACACCGCCATTCATGATCGCAGACAACTCAGAATGCCACATCAGAGTCTTGTCATATAGTTCTCTTGCTGGGGCACTCGATTATCAACACGCAGCTGAAACATCATCATATGACGTACCTGCTGCTGTGCTCTCCACAAGCAACACAGTATCCCAAGCACAGTCACCTAGTACCATACCTCAGCCATCTTTAACTGCAATCAGTGAAGATCACTCACTCATATTGCACCTCGAGTCCGTCATGCTGCCACTTAGCACATATAGAACACTGGCAACCGCACTTGGAGTCTAGGATTTAGTCACACGAAAAGAATACAAGAAAATTGTTATAACCAACCATACAGTAGCAAGCTAGTAATAAATACAATTATCAAAGTTGAAATAAGGATGAGAGAACCGTCAAATGCTGAAGGATGAGCACACTGTCAAGTACTGGATATGTCGTCAAGCGCTGGAGAAGGATGAGAGCATCGTCAAGTGTTGGAGAAGGATGAGCACTTCATCAAGTGCTGCAAGTGCTGGAGAAGGACGAGCACAGCAAAAGTTATGAAGGAGTGCAATAAGGAGGGAAGAGAAGGGATATGGTGGTGATGGTTTCAAAGCCAGGTGTATGTTCAGGTTAGAAACCCAGCTGTTTGGATGGGATTTTCTAAGCGAGGAGGTCCTGGGGGTCAGGCATGACTAAGTAATGTCACCTTGCTCATACCTTGTTCTTCTTGAGTTTGGGAACCAATGTATTTCAGAACGGTAACAGGTCAACTATGACTCAATCCAGGCCATCTGTGGCTGGCCTGAGCCAAGAAAGTCAAAGACATTCAATCTTTCTTAGGTTTTGCCAACTTCTACCACTGCTTCATCTTCGATTACTCTAACATCATAGTCTTGCTCACCCACCTTACCCACAAGGATGCCCCTTGGGTCTTCTCTGATGCCAGATGTTCCTATTGCCATCAAAACTGATGCCTCTGATTATGCTATCACTGGTATTCTTTCTATACAATGTGCAGACAATGAGCTCCATCCCATTGCCTTCTATTCCCACACTCTCTCCGCTCTGGAGCTCAACTATGACACTCACGACAAGGAACTTTTGGCTATTCATGAAGCTTTCCACATATGGCAGCATTACCTTGAAGGCTCCGCCCTCCCCATAGATGTGGTCACTGACCACAAAAATCTGGAATATTTCACTACCATGAAGCTCCTTTCTCACCACCAGGCTCGCTGGTCAGAGTTCCTCCACCAGTTTAATCTCATCATCCATTTCCCAACCTGGCCGCCTCAGAGTAAAACTTGATGCCCTTACTTACCATTCAGATGTCTACCCAAAAGAGGGGGATAAGGACTATGCTCAGGTCAATCCACATAATTTAAGCCAGTGTTTACTCAAGAACAGCTCGCTTCGTCCCTACAAGCCACTATCCTAGCCAAACCTATGCTCTACACAGTGGTCATAATGGATACAGAAGTGCTCCACAGGGATATCATCTCTGCCCTTTCCTCCAACCCCATTACTAGCAGCTTACTCCAGGTATCCCTGTAGTGTATTAATTAATACTACAGTACCCATACTGTGTGGCCATTTATAAATGCCTGCCACTTTTACAGTAAGGTAGTCTACACACAGTTACTAGTCATTCTACATGTGTATTTGCAGGGCACTGCTGCAGTACATTCTGCATTGTATTGGTTTGTTATGTGCTGTTATGATTTTTGGCAGGCAAAACATATCACAGCTGGTGTGGCTGCTCCGCTTTGGCTAGCTTTGTTTGTTTTCAAATATTCTGTCCCACCCATTTAGGCAATACAACTAGGCAACTGCATGGGTAAACCCCCGGGTATCTCAGGTCATACCCGCACCCGTACCTGGGGATATACCCACACCTGCATGGGGGGTATGGGTATCATAGTGGGTATTGCATATTATAAGGATTCAACATCCTTTACGCACCGACTGCGCTTCAAAAACAAGACGCACGAACCATAGGTTCGGAGTCATCCGCGTGAGTCACTGATGTGAAGTGTTACTCTTTGCATCCGAGTCACACGGATATATCTCTTTTCATCTTACCATTCAGTACCTTACCTCGTGCTCACATTACACCCATCTCTGTTCCTTCATCAAGTATTTTCACGCTCATCCGGTTTAAACAAGTATTCGAAAATGTATATATGATACAAATGTACACTCATACTATAGCAAAATCTTACAGTGAGATCCCCGCTCCAAGTAAGACTGAAAAGTCTCTCGAAAGTCCTCGTCTCTAGTCCAAGACCAATCCCTCTTCATGTTACCCTACTAACTTGTCGCATTTCTATCTCATTCCAATCACAATTCCCTACCGAACTCACACTCAGCTTTACATATTTGGAGCCCACTGCAAGGGAATTGTTTTCGAACGATCCCTTGCACCCCGAGATGGATTCACTGATCTATCACTGATCTTCTAGTCCTTCTCTTAGTACCCGGTCACTTGACCACTCTTCTCACCATTTCAAAATATTATCATCCCAACGCACAGCCATGCCTCCAACAAGAAACACCATCTGCGCTGGCTCCTTCAAGAAACACCGAAGCCGCACCAATACCTATAACGCTCCTACCACCTCTTCCTCTGCTGCAGCAGTACCATTTCTCGACTCTCTTGCTGTCACCCCAGCTTGCTTTAGATTTGATCACATGCCAGACCTTTCCAAGACACAACGGACGGACCAACAGAGTCATCACTCTTGGACGACGACACTATAAGCTGTCCCTTCCACGCAAAATCGCCTTTTCCAGCAATACCCATTGAACCAATGTTCACTCTTAGACCGGCCGTATTCGATCCTGAAACCCCAACATTACTGCAAATACTCCCTGAACCTGTAAACACCAAAATGACTCCTGCCGCCTCAACTATCCCTCCCATTCCGAAGCCCAAATTCATCCCTCAAAAGACACTACCACCAGTCCAGAACCCATCAACAATAATAGTTTCCCAACCGCCTTCTGCACCTATAATCTCTAATCTGCCTATTGTCCTCCCACCCCCAGCCATAGCACCTTTTGCACCCTCTCAACCGCCTATCATCATGTCTAACACATCGAAAGGTATAAATGCCATGCCTGGTGCAAACTCCAGCAAAGCACCATCGTTCAATGGGGAAACCTCAGAACTCTTGGAGTTTTTCGAGTTATTTGAAGACTTGGCCGCTGTGTGTACCCTTACCAACGCTAAAAAATGCAAAATGATCGTCTGTTACATCGACATCCAAACAAAGCATTTTTGGGTAACATTAACCGGGTATGAAAGCAAAGATTTTACCATGTTTAAAGCAAGTATTTTAGCACAGTACTCAGGAGCCGCTAAAGGTCAGCAGTACTCTATTTGCGACCTCGAACGTATCGTAATCAGCAATGTTGATAATGATATTTCAATGGAGACCGAGCTACTACAGTACTACCAACAGTTTTATCCCATTGCTCACTGGCTTGTAGCCAACAACAAGATATCTGCCCATGAACGAGACCATTACTTCTGGCAAGGACTCCCAGCTACTACCTGACGCGCCATCGACCGACGACTTGAACTGAAAGATGCCAACTACTCGTGAACAGAAGCTACTGACTTTGAAGAGGTCCTCAAAGCAGGACATTTTGTGTTCTCAGATGACGCGTTCGACGCGGACCTTAACGAGCCTATTGCAACTAGAATACGCACTATACGGGAGGGACGTTCTGCTAGAGCCAAACCTACAGTGCCCTGGGATTCCGATGAAGAAGACAAGAGAAAAGATGTATGGTGGGAAGTCCAAATGAAGTGAGTTGTGTTTGTATCGCCTCCAGTAGCACCCATCAAAACTACAATGGATGAAGTAGAAGATCTCGCGTGGAAAATGCATACCTTGGATATCAGTGATGTCGCATACTCAGGTTGTTATACCTGACTCGTTTGTCTAGCACCCACAGCTGCACAGGCATGGACACCCCCCAAATCCCACCAACTCATCAACACTTCCATCCCAGCTCAAAATACGCTACCCTATCTCCCCCTTCCTCCCCTTCCTCCATCCTCTAATGACTCGCCAAACGCCAAGTGTTTCTTCTGTGGAGGACCTCATGTTATGCATACCTGTTCCATGGCTGGAGAATACTTACGGGCAGGGTGGATTATTCAAGATGGGCAGTTTTTTGCCTACACCGGATTGATTCGCGCATATGACACCCATACGGAAGGACGAAGGACACCTTCAAACTACGAAGTGATGCTCGGTATTCTAACGCACAGCCTTCAAAGCCTCAACCAGATCCAATTCTATTCCATCGATAACCCCCGATGAGAGCCGACCTCCACAGGCAAACCATCAAAATCCCATCCTCTGCTTTCATGTCCGAATCATAACTGTCTGCAATGTGACCCATCGCTGAGAATCACGCGGTAATTGTAACGGTTGAAGAAGAAAGAAATTGACGAGCAAATCGGGACTGAGGACAGCTGCACATCACCAGGTCCAAGTCCAAGGCTGTAAAAACCCCCGACAGTGCTCCCTCTGCACAACCCAT